TTAAAAAATTAATGTCTGGTTCACACGGAAATGTTAATGGCATTCAGAGAGAGAAAATCATGAATATATTCATCAGGGCTTCACAGAAAATCAAGCCATCATGTATGAATGTGGGAGAAGCTGGAACTGGGCGGATGGTGCTTTCAGCTCTCAGCTGGGCCTCTTTACCTTCATCCTACCCTGCTCTGTATTTTAAAAGTATACAGCAGCCTGGCTGGTTGGCTCAGTGGTTGAGCGTTGACCTATGAACCAGGAGGTCACCGTTCAATCCCCAGACAGGGCACATGCCCAGGTTGCAGGCCCGATCCCCAGTGTGGTGTGTGCAGGAGGCAGCCGATCAATGATTCTCTCTCATCATTGATGTTTCTATCTCTCTCTTCCTCTCCCTTCCTCTCTGAAATCAATAAAAATATATTGAAAAAAAAGTTTAAAGCTATTTTCATCTACCATTTGTTTTATGCCAGACACCGAGCCAGGCCCCCTATTGGCATTACCTCATTGATTCAATGATTCAATACAAGGTCCCAGAAGCGTGCTGGACACAGCAAGTGCTCAGTAGCCATGTTTATCTCACTCAGCCTCCACATACCTAACAATCCCTAATGAGGGAAGGAATGCTGTGCCCCACCATCAATGAGGACATGGTGCTGGGTCCAGAGCGGTCAGGGTCGGGTCTGATGCTGCCACTTCTCATTGCACACCTGATTCCAGAACATTCCTGGGAAGGATTTGGTGGCTGGTCAAAAAAATATATGCACCAAATGTCAGTCCAGGTGAGACACGCAGCACCGTGTAGACTCCACGCGGACTGGAGAATACTGACCCGCTCCTGTGGGCCCTGGGGTGCAGCGACGCCAGAAAACCAAATGCGGCGCTGCCAGAGCTGCTGGGGGCTCCTGCCTCCAACACCCCCTTGCTGAGAGCCAGCTCCACACAGGCCAAGAGATGCGGACACTGAGGCGGAGAGAGGATCAGTGGCCGGGAATCAGGCGAAGGTGGGAAGTCAGTGGTGCTGACAGGCCAGTGGAAAGACAGCCGCAGGCAAACAAGACAACTGCACACGGGCGAGCGGAGAGAGCAAGCGGGGTGCGGGGTCAGGGACTAGGGTTGCGCCTCTAGATGTTCAGGAAGCAGCTTCTTGCAGTTTTGTATTTAACGCTTTGTAATCCGATCCTGCGGACAAGGAAGTGCCTTGAGACTTTGCAAGGTGGAGAGGAGAGATGTTCTTCCGAATTTTTGACCCTGAAATGGTCCTTGAACCAAAAATGTTTGGAAACCGCCACCCAAGTGTCTGTGCATGTCTCTCCAGCTTCTCACATAAGGGGGACCGAAGCGGGAGGTGGTGGGGGGCTTCCTGCCCCTTTCTCTTTCATTCAAACCAGGAGCAGCCGACGTGCAAAGGACAGCGCGCCTGGGAAGACGCTCTGGTGGCGGAGCCAGGGCCCCCAATGGCAGCCT